ATAATGTCTAAGAATTCTCTTTCTCTCTTGGTGCTCAGCTTTTCTAAAGCCTAAGCACCCTATTTATACTAAATAGGTCGTGGATATACAACAAGCCGATTTCCTATTCTAACACTAATAGGAATAGACAATTTCCTTTTTCTTTAAGGATTAGGAAATTGTCCTTTCTCTTCATGTTTCCTTTTCCTCCTATGAAAAGGAAACTCTTCAGTCTTCTAGAATCTTCTCCAAGCTTCTAGTATTCACAGCCAACCACCATAGACCGACTTTACCAATTTCCATATGCTCGCTTCACGTTGCTCTGTTCCCCTGAACTACTTCTTGAAGTACTCTGAACTAGTACAACGACTGCTTCAACAGCTTCATCTTTATTATTTGCCTTCTATAAATGCCGCTTTCTGTTTCTCTTCATCTTGATATATAACTTATTAAGAATACATCAACAATCTCTCCCTTTCTTAGTAAGTTTTATAATCCAAGCTTCACACATCATTAACTTCAATTATTACTTTGATGATCTCCAAACTCTCTCTCAACCTTGAAACAAAGATCTCAGCAGCTTCTAAAACTCGGTCTTCACAACACCAACAAATTGTTTAACAGAGTTGGTTTCGGGTGCGACCCAGACGCATCCTCACCGCCAAAATCGAAGGTATCTAACTTTAGAGGTACGAAATCATGGCCGATAGTGAGCAATTGGTCTGCATCAGCTGCGTATCTGAGGTACGGTACTCTTTCGTGAGCCACCTCTCCGAAGCTCTCCGCCGGAAAGGCATAAATAGTGTGATCATAGATGTAGATAGCGATGATCTGCTTTCCAAGGAGTCGCAGGCAAAGATCGAGATATCTAGCGTTTCTGTGATGGTTTTATCCAGAATCTGTGAGCCAACTAGAGTATGCCACAACTTCGTGAAGGTTCTCGAGTGCCAGAGGGACAAGAACCATGTGGTGGTTCCTGTGTTGTACGGCGAGAGTCCATTACTGGGCGAATGGCTCAGCGTGCTGGATTTGAGAGATTTATCGCCAGTTCACCAATCCAGGTATTCGCTTTATTTTGTTATCTTCCGTTGTCTTTAGCTTTTCACATTAGGGTTTAATTTAAGCTTTACTTATGAGAAAACAGTTATAAATGAATAGCAGAGCAAGTATTGTTTCATTGACATGTAAATGTAATGTTAAAACTCGCAGGAAGGAATGTAGTGACTCCCAGCTTGTAAAAGAGATTGTCAGAGATGTGTATGAGAAGCCCTTTTATAAGGGACGAATTGGAATCTATTCGAAGCTGCTGGAGATTGAGAAAATGGTTTGCAAGCAACCGTTGGGCATCCGTTGTGTTGGAATTTGGGGTATGCCTGGCATAGGCAAGACGACACTTGCTAAAGCGGTCTTTGACCAAATGTCTGGCGAATTTGATGCTTCTTGTTTTATCGAAGACTATAGCAAAGCTATTCAAGAGAAGGGTGTTTATTGTTTGCTGGAGGAACAATTTTTGAAAGAAAATGCTGGTGGTGCTGGTGGTACCGTTACGAAATTGAGCTTGCTTAGAGACAAATTAAACAATAAGAGAGTTCTTGTTGTTCTCGATGATGTGCGTAGTCCTCTGGTTGTGGAGTCTTTTCTTGGAGGGTTTGACTGGTTTGGTCCCAAAAGTCTAATCATCATAACCTCCAGAGATAAATCGGTGTTTCGCCTTTGTCGAGTCAATCAAATATATGAGGTTCACGGTTTAAATGAGAAAGAGGCTCTTCAGCTATTCTCTATGTGTGCGTCTATAGACGATATGGCAGAGCAGAATCTCCACGAGGTGTCAATGAAAGTTATTAAATATGCTAATGGCCATCCATTAGCTCTCAGTCTCTATGGCAGAGAGCTGAAGGGTAAGAAAAGACCGCCAGAAATGGAGACAGCATTCCTCCAACTCAAGGAACGTCCTCCAAATATTTTTGTTGATGCAATCAAGAGCTGCTATGACACACTCAATGACAGGGAAAAAGATATATTTTTGGACATAGCTTGTTTCTTCCAAGGAGAAAATGTTGACTACGTGATGCAAGTGCTTGAGGGTTGTGGTTTCTTTCCACATGTTGGAATCGATGTTCTTGTAGAGAAGTGTCTGGTGACTATTTCAGAAAACCGAATGCGGATGCATAACTTGATCTAAGATGTTGGCCGACATATAATAAATAGAGAAACAAGACAGACTAAGAGGCGCGACAGACTGTGGGAACCTTGGAGCATCAAATATTTATTAGAAGATAACGGAGAAAAAGAAAATGGAGAACACAAAACAACTTTGGAACGTGCTCAGGTCTGTAATCATTTGATAGTTTTATATTGAACCTATTTTATGAGCCAGCATCCTAATATAATCCACTTCCAATATTCTTTCAGGGCCCTGAAGAGATCGAAGGCATGTTTCTGGACACATCAAACTTTAGTTTTGATATTAAGCCTGCTGCCTTTGATAATATGTTGAACCTTAGATTGCTCAAGATTTACAGTTCCAATCCTGAAGTCCATCATGTAAAGAATTTCCTCAAAGGCTTTCTCAATTCTCTTCCTAATGAGCTAAGACTCCTCCATTGGGAGAACTATCCTCTGCAGTTTCTGCCCCAAAATTTTGATCCTATACACCTTGTTGAAATCAACATGCCGTACAGCCAACTTAAGAAACTTTGGGGTGGAACCAAGGTAAGCAAAATCAAATATGCGTCTTTTGCCCTTATCTATACTTGACAGATTTTGTAATTATTTTTTTGGCGATTTGTTTCTTAGAACCTGGAGATGTTGAAAACTATCAGGCTTTGTCATTCCCAGCAACTAGTTGATATTGACGATGTTTTAAAAGCTCAAAATCTTGAGGTAATTGATCTCCAAGGTTGTACAAGACTGCAGAGTTTCCCAGCCACAGGTCAATTGCTACATCTACGAATTGTAAATCTCTCTGGTTGCACAGAGATCAAAAGTTTCCCAGAGATTCCCCCAAATATTGAGACACTGAATCTACAGGGGACTGGTATAATAGAATTACCACTTTCCATTATTAAGCCAAACTACACAGAGCTTTTGAATCTTCTAGCTGAAATCCCGGGTCTTTCAGGAGTCTCAAACCTTGAGCAAAGTGATCTCAAACCTTTAACAAGCCTGATGAAAATGAGCACATCTAATCAAAATCTTGGCAAGCTTATTTGCTTGGAGCTGAAAGATTGTGCTCGTTTGCGAAGTCTGCCAAACATGAATAATTTAGAACTTCTCAAAGTTCTTGATCTTTCTGGTTGCTCAGAGCTCGAGACTATCCAGGGTTTCCCACAGAACCTGAAAGAGTTATATCTTGCTGGCACTGCAGTAAGACAAGTGCCACAACTTCCTCAAAGCTTAGAACTCTTTAATGCACATGGTTGTGTCTCTCTCAAGTCAATTCGTGTGGACTTCGAGAAGCTTCCTGTGCATTACACACTTAGTAATTGTTTTGATCTCTGTCCAAAAGTGGTCAGCAATTTTTTAGTGCAAGCGCTGGCTAATGCGAAACGCATACCAAGAGAGCATCAACAGGTAATATTACATCCTTGTCTCAATACCTGATATGTACATCCAGCCCAGTCCTTATGTTATATCTGACTAATCATGTATTTATTGCAACAGGAACTCAACAAAACTTTGGCTTTCAGCTTCTGTGCGCCCTCACATGCGAATCAAAATTCCAAACTTGATCTGCAACTAGGATCTTCTGTAATGACACGACTAAATCCTTCTTGGAGGAACACACTTGTGGGCTTTGCTATGCTGGTGGAAGTCGCATTTTCGGAGGATTACTATGATGCTACTGGTTTTGGCATTAGTTGTATTTGCAAATGGAAAAACAAGGAAGGCCACTCTCATAGGATAGAAAGAAATTTGCATTGTTGGGCTCTAGGGAAAGCTGTTCAAAAGGATCATATGTTTGTCTTCTGTGATGACAACTTGCGTCCAAGTACTGATGAAGGAATTGACCCCGATATCTGGGCTGATTTAGTTGTCTTTGAGTTCTTTCCTGTCAACAATCAGACAAGGCTTCTAGGTGATAGTTGCACAGTGACAAGATGTGGAGTCCGTGTAATAACTCCTCCAAACTGCAATACAAGTCTCGAGATATCATCATCAGTTTTGTCCTTAGATCCGATGGAGGTTTCTGGTAATGAAGGTGAAGAAGTATTGAGAGTCAGTTATGATGGTTTACAGGAGATAGATAAAGCTTTATTTCTTTACTTAGCAGGTTTGTTCAATGACGAGGATATTGATTTGGTGGCACCACTTATTGCTAACATTATTGACATGGACGTCAGTTATGGGCTCAAGGTCTTAGCCGATAGGTCTCTCATACGTGTATCTTCCAATGGGGAAATAGTGATGTACAATTTGCAACGAGAAATGGGTAAAGAAATCCTCCATACAGAATCAAAGAAGACTGACAGATTGGTCGACAATATTCAGAGTTCCATGATCGATTCAAAGGAAATCGAGATCACTCATTCAAAGAATCGCCGAAAGTAAGTTCTCTCTATTTTTATTTCTTAAAGTTCAATATATAAACCCGTAGACTTGTCTTTGTGGTTTCTGTTCATTGGGAGAATTCACAATTAAGTAGTTAACCGTAACTTTAAAAAAATTTAAATTTTCTAACGTCTGTTTTATACTTTTATTAGATTGAACTAAGTTTACAATAGCCATTACGGAAGTACCATTATGTTTTTTTTTCCCAAGTTTAGTAACATAGGTCTCTAATGTTTGAAGTATTTAGATTACTTTTTGTAATATTTCATACATTTTGTAGATTTTTTAAAATGAGTTTTTATTGACGGTGGATGCAGGAAGAGCAGGGCAAAGAAAGTGCTTTGGTCCATTGAAGAAGTAGCTGACCAATGGGTTTGGCGAAAGTACGGTCAAAAACCCATCAAAGGTTCTCCTTATCCAAGGTACATTCATTATATATATATACACATATCTTTGATGTTTAGTACTGAAGGATTAATTAAGTCTTTGCTCTTTACTTAAAGATTAATTATTTGATTCTCAGGAATTACTACAAATGTACCAGCTCGAAAGGTTGTTCAGCTAGGAAACAAGTCGAACGTAGCCGCACCGATCCAAACATGTTAGTCATTACTTACATCTCTGAGCATAACCATCCATCCCCCACTCAACGCAATGCTCTTGCCGGCTCCACTCATTCCCCGTCATCCTCCAAATGCTCAGCTGTAACTACTTCTGACTCATGTAGAGTCTCCCAACACAAAGACGAACCGGATAAATCCCATTTGCCTTCCTCTCCCGCTTCTCCTCCTTATGCGGCCATGGTGATTAAGGAGGAGGACATGGAGCGGCGGGACAATATGGAGTTCGATGATGACGTTGAAGATACCTTAATACCGGAATTATTTCCAGAGGATTTCTTCGCTGATCTCAACAAGCTTGAGTCGAATTCTCAGACTATGTTTCAATCTCACAGTAGCAGCGGAGGCAACATGGAAAACCAAGGGCGGAACTCTAGTAGTGATGATATGGGGGCCAATTTACCTAATAAAACTCTGTGAATCATTGTTATTATTATGCAATGTTAATAATTTGCTTAATGTTTTAATCAACAAATATAATTAAACGCAGGTGCATCGAAAAAAAGAAAAAGCATGACAATCTCCCGTGTTGTTGAATATTCATATCACTGCTTGAACAATTTGTTTCAAAAATCATTGTCGTTAGTTTGTTCAATCGCGATCCATATTGCTTCTAATTCCGAATATATATTAGAAGATAGGCTTTTAAGAACCCCTCCATATCGTCTTCGAAGGAGAACCATCCAAAACTAAAGTAAGTTTTTTTTGTTTTTGTTTTTAAAATATTTATTAATCATCTAATCAACCTCTTAAGAATTTTGTTAAAAAACTAGGGAAACTTTAGGCTTTACATTTCCTCTTATATCTCCAAAACATTACAGTGGCTCAGCCTAATAAAAGTGAAGTTTGTGTAAAAAAAATACAAAAAAACTCCCAAACATTTTGCTTTGCATGTTTGCTGGATTATGGATTTCGATAAGGCTCTTTTTCTTCTACCAGATTTGATCGAAATTTGGTTTAATTTTACCTCCTCTTTATCGGATATATGTCGTTTGTCTCCACCTCTATCCAGGCTCCGCATGCCATTATCAGGAAGCAATTTTTATCATTGTCGAAGTCTAACTATTACTAAGTGAGAGGACAACAAGATTTGAAGATTAGTTTTTGAAGATTTCTTTGGCGATTTTAAGTTTTTAAGTCTTTGAAAAGCATCTATAAGGAGTTGTCAGAATTTAAAAATTTTCATAATCTTAACATTCTATTTTCTTTCTGCTTTTTCTGATACCGGATTTGTATAATCGGTTTAACCATTCTAGTGTCCGCTGCGTTACTTGTTATACAAGGAAAAGACATAGAGCCGAGAATGATCGAGGCGCCTCAATGGCGGCCAGGCCCGGCCCTTGACAGATTTGTATGATACATTTGTGTTGGGCGCCCGGCCCTTGACAGATTTGTATGATACATTTGTAATTTGAGGCCCATTTTGTGGGAACGTTTTTTTTTTTTTTTAAACCCACAATTAGTAAAATAAACCCCAAAAATTAGCAAAATTGTCTCATAATTTTTAAAATAGGTCGCATAATTGGCAAAATAAAATTCTAACATTAGCAAAAATGTCTCATAAATAGAAAAAAATACCCCATCATTAGCAAAAAAATCCTATAATTAGCAAACAATGTCCAAAAAATAAGAAACATTATTAAATAAAAATTATTAATACCCCATAATTGGCGAAAAAAATGTTTTAGCATTTTTTATCTCTTAAAAATGTTCCAAATTTTTTTTTCGTATTTGGCCCCAGATTTAACCGGACCGGCCCTGATGGCGGCTCGTCGAGAGAGACTTCTTAGTGTGTGCTGCTTGGTGTTGTATTCTCCTCTATTCTTCCTTGCTATTCCAAACACAAATTTTATTTAACTAAACATAATTAATTATTTTGTTTTGTTTTTTGCATTAAACATTATTTAGGTATATATGTAAATACTATTTCGCTCTAGTTCAGTAGTTTTCTTTCGGTTCGGATTCATATATGGAACCAATTGTGGTCAAAATTGACAAGATTTATAACTTACAATACAGCAGTATTGAAGACAATCATGGACATATTCTTCCCAGTTGCAATATTGAATTTGACACTTGGATTATTGTAAATGACTGGAGAGACGACTCTGTCCAGCCAACTATACCAAAAAAAAAAAAAAAAAAAAAATCATACATATAAGATCATTTTGACCAAGAAAGATAGAGTAATGGTTTTTGTAAGTTGATGTATCCCTATCCAAATTCAAACCTATATAATACATGTTATTAACAAAAAAAAATCATTTTCAAACGGACAACTTGCTTAAGACTCGAAGCATATTGTAACTTTGTAAGACAAAGACGAATTGATAAAACTCTGTTTTTCCATGGCGGCTTCTTCTTCTGATATGGTATTGAGGTCAACGCGGCCTCAAGTGTTCATCAATTTCCGGGGAGAAGAGCTGCGGAGAGGCTTCATCAGCTTCCTCGAGCCTACCTTAAAAAACGAAAATATAAACGTTTTCATAGACGAACTGGAGCTGAGGGGCAGGGATCTACAGAACCTGTTTGTGAGGATTAAAGAGTCCAAAATTGCGTTGGTGATCTTCTCCAAAGATTATGCCAACTCAGAATGGTGTTTGGACGAGCTAGCAATGATTAAGGAATGCATGGATCAAGGCAATCTTGATGTGATTCCTATCTTCTACAAGGTAGAACCTTCTGTTGTGAAATATCTTCTAGGTTACTTTGGAGAAAATTTCATGAATCTGAAGAACAGATATGAAAACGATCCAGAAAGAACTCGGAAATGGGAGGAAGCCTTAGCATCTGTTTCCCAAAAGTTTGGCTTGCCATTTCCAGAAAAAAGGTTTTTTTGTTTCCCTATTCTCTCTATTTCTTTAAATATTAGGCATAGTAAACCGAAATCCAAAACTTGTCCCATTATCATTTTGGTAAAAAAAACTTTTTCCATTATCTTTTTTATTGGCACCAAAAGAAAACTTTTTCTAAAGCCTTTATAATGTTTTACTCTAATTGACAACCACTTTGCTGAAAGTCTTGAGATTATATATGTAATGTCATAGTAGAAAGGCTAGCTAGTTAATTACTCGTATTGTAAGCCGGTGACAGATTCCAGAACCATATATATTATTAAGCATCAAGGAGGTTAATTACGAGAGTGTTGGCGAATAATTAGACTTTGGGAAAATAGAACCGTCCAACCAATAAAGCACTTGAGGTTGCGTTTGGGCCGAGTAGTTGTTGTAGTTCAAAGGTTTCGGCCTAACATCGAAAACTTAGATTGATTCATAATTACATATTTCAAATTTATTGGTTTTTTTTGTCAAATATTTCAAATTTATAATGTGGCATATATATACAAATTTGAGATGATGATTCTTATCGGCATATATCTCTTGCCGAGTCTCTCGCTAGATAGGATCAACAATATATTGGGTCATCCTACTAGGGTCAATACATTGACCGATGATATCTTGCTAAGTTCGATGGCTTTTAAAAACCATTTGAGAACGAGTATAGTTAATAGACCCATTCAAATATATATATATATATATATATATATATATATATATAAATTCCCACAAGTTGTTTGTTAGTGCATAAATTATTACGTTAAGTTGAAAATTTATTAATTTTAATAGAAAATGTTTGGATTAGAGGTACGGTCGTCAAGACATCTTGACAAAAAGAGGTTCAATCTACCAAAACTTCCTTTTTGCCTCCAAAAAAGCTATCCATTGGCTGCTTCTTCCTAAAAGGCTACAACGCAACCTTAAGTGTTCATCAATTTATGGGAAAAGATTCTCACTCGTGTTGTTTGACAGTGACAGGACCGATAGGGAATTCATAAACTCAATAGTCGTGGAAGTTAAGAGGGTGCTCGAGCATATTGGAGGAAAAGCAGATAAGAGAGGACATGCCAAAGTAATTCAGAGACAACAGCAGGAAGAAATTCATCAAGGATGTATGTTCAACGCAAGGGAACTGAAGATAAGTGGTTCTCATAATGCAAGATATTGGACCTTTGTGTCTATTTCCGAGTCACCCAAGTAAGAGTTTTCTTACAAGTTCATAAATACTGTATCATGATTTTTAGGAAGATATGACTCGAATACCATTTAAAACCAATTCGTAATATAATGCATGAATAAACGATCTTGTCCATTATATATTAGATGATGACGGGAGTTTATTGGATTAAATATTTTATTTGATTTGGAATTCCAAGTAAAGTCTATTTTTGAGGAACTGACTTTGAAATCATTGTCAAAATATATTGTCATTTTTGTTCTATGATTTCTAAAAACTAGTAGTTTATATCTAGTGTTATTATTTGAAATACAAGATAAAGATTATGACAAATCTTTGAACAATTTAAATGTCGTTAAGAATACAAATGACAACTTTTGGGTAAATTCTATTGATAATTATAGTAAGACGATCATTTTCTTATACAAGACCTGATGGATGGTTTATTATGTTCAGTGATGAGGTGGCATTTGAAGTCGCAAAGATGCAGAGAAATTACTATCTAGAAGTGTCTGGATTTTGCCAGACGGAAATACTGACAACGGGGACGAAGTACGAGGTGGTATTCGTGGTGAAAGTAGAGGACACAATGTCCAGATGGGATGTCCCGGCGAAGGTGCAACTGATGGTGCCCTATAGCAACGAGCTGCAAGAGAGGGAATTGCAATTTGTTGATCTCATAAGGAATGAATGGGTCGATATTCAGGCCGGGGTTTTCGTGCACAGCCGCAAAACCTGAAGATTGCTTTCTATTTGTATCAGCACAAGTCTACGGAGGCGAAGACGGGGCTCCTGGTTAAAGGTGCTGTAATTCGTCCCGTGGAGTAATTGAGTCAATCTTTTCACGTAGTGTGGCACTCTCTATCTTAAATATCTTTTAATTAAATACATGATTGTTTTTGCTGTTTGGGTTTATTTTTAATTATGTTTATGTTTACATATTAATTTATTCTGCTGATTTTTATGAGTTTCCAACTTAAAATTAAGGGAAAATTAGAAATAAAGGAGCTCTAAACAAAAGTTTGACCATATATACTTTTTTTTTTAGAATGTCACTTTGGACTAAAATACCCCTACTCTCTATTTTAAGCATTTTTTGAATGATTTTACCAAAAAAACATGTAGATATACAAGATTATAGATGATTTGAAAAAAAAATTGATGATTTAGTTGAAAAAAAGTTGATTTTTTGATGGATAAAGTTTCGTCTAAAATTATTAGAATACATTTTCTAACGTTCTACGAATATCAGAATTTATATTCTAAACTTTTGTACATGTTCTACGAAAATCAGAGTTTGTATTCTAAATTTTTGTACATGTTCTACGACTTTTAGATTAGGTACATGTTCTAACAAATTCAGAAGACCGGAATACAATTTCCAAAAATCCTTAGAACATGTATTCTACGCTTTTCTTCATGTTCTAATTTTAGTCAGAAAATCCATTCTACGATTTATAACATGTTCTAAAAACGTTAGAAAACGTATAATTATTTTAGAATCCGTTTTCTAATATAATATAGATTTCAATTTCTGAAAAGTTTTAGAATTCCTAAATATAGAAAGTGAATCTTTCAAAAAGGAAACTGAATATATATTAAATATTACGTTTTTATTGTTTAGATTACGATCTGAGGATGGTTAGAATACGTATTCTAATTTTTTCAGATAAAAAAAAATTAAAAACGAAAATCTATAGGGTGAAATCGTTTTTTAGCCCTAATCGTCAAAGTCTTCTTCTTTCACCTCTTCCTTTTGAGTCCACGTTGAAAGGTTAGACTAATTTGGTAGATTTGTCGTTCTGTGCCCTATTTTTTGAGATGCACATCTACGTAAGGAGTGGTGTGTGGAGATTTTGTGACAACAATGAGTGGAGATTTGTTGTTGATGAAAAAAATCGTGGGAGATTGCTCAATTTGGAATCGACTACAACTTTTGAAGAGTTAAAGGTGTTGGTTACAGAAGACTATGGCATAGATCAGAGTACATGTGATGTGGAGTTAAGTTACTTACCCACAGATCTTAGCGTTGATTGTCCTCCTGTTGTTATGATGAATAACAGACAGGTAAGTAATTTCCTTTCGTATTGTAAAAGGAAAAGTATGATCTCGCTATGTGTGACGTTCAATGGTGGAGTTAAAAATACTGGGAGTAGAGAAAAATTCGATTTGAATAAGGAACCCGACGCTGCAACTAATGGATATGATGATGTTAATGTTGACGAAGAAGCAGCACCAATGATTTTGGTAGAAGAAAAACGACGTGTTCGTTTGGTAGAAAGTCCAAAAACGCATCATCAAGGTGGAGTTGGATCGTCGTCTAAGTCTTCTTCTGTAAGTAAGGGTCAGTATTTCAGAAGTAAAGAAGTTTTACAAGCAACCATGGAATTGTATGCGATGAAGTAT